ACAGTCTGACGTTGGTTTTCTTTATCGTATGTAGACATTTTCAAGCCAAATTGTTCAGAGATTTACAAAGTAAACACGATGCAAAACGCGTACATTTATCGTTAGTAAACAAGCTTTTATTTCTATTTTACGTGATACGAATTGGATCAAAATTGGGTAAGTTATACGCGTTTGAATATCACGGAATTTTTTGCAATTTCTTTTGCACACCACTGTATATATATTTTAGCAGCATATTCTGCTAACTTGTCTGTACAAATTCATATATCACCACGTTTTTCGCAAATGTTATTAAATCAACGAAATCATGAGTACGAGGGACGGTTTCTTATAATCCGCTCCATGTATAATTACAGTTACTTCTTGCAGCTTTCCAATAAAGTTCAACAGTAAAATTTTGGCAAAAACATACAGATATTAATATGTAGTGGAATGCTTATTATTATGCATAATGCGTTTATTGGATAACGGATTGTTACACACTAAAGTTACACAAACGGTTCTATTTTTCTTAATATTAAGAAAACTGTTACCTTTCAAATCCCTAAAACTCGAAACTTTTCAGTTGACTAAAAAATGCAAACCGTAACTTTATTCTGCATTATCTTTTCTATCATTCTTACGGATTAGTTTTTCTCTCCATATTCTCTAATAGAAAAGCCTTAGGGTTTCGAAAGTTGGATAATTTATTTCGAGCTTTAGATGATATGCACCATATATAGCTCATTATATTCTATTTTTGGAGCGTCTAGGAATAACGTTTGCGCCTGTACTACGTGGCGGGACGGGTAAATTCCCCAATAATAATAAATGAGACTAAAATTAATATTTTATTTGTACCATAAAAGCATTATAATATGAGAAAATTTTAGACATAAAGTGAACTATCAGACACAGGACATGTCATTAATGTAAGACTTTATTGCCCAACTACAGTCGTACTCTACGTATTTAATTATTGTTAAAACTTTCTTCTTATTCAAACACTTGCTCGATACATTACATACAACAAAATGATCCGTCTTCAACACTATTCGACTAACACTGCCACCATACCGTTTCTACCTTCTCTTACCACTATCTCCTCTACCACATCCAAAGATTATGCTTTAAACACACAAGTTTCTTGGGCGAAAGCAAGCACGACAGCTGGAGAGCGAAATTGAGAATAAACTATCTGCATATGCAAAGTTGGCTAGCGGTTATGGGAGAGAACGAGGAGAGGCTGGTGTGAGTGGGATAACAGGACTAAGTACTGAAGCCGTGGAAGCAGAGGTTGATGAGTTGATAAAGAAGATATACATAATTAGTGGCATCAGTGATATCAATGTGTATCATTGTACTATTTCTGTATATTCGACATACTTATAAAAGCAATTTTACATCTAGAATGGAATAGACAAAAGTTCTCATCATTTATGAGGGTGGAGCAATTAACGTCTTTACTGTGATCTTTGTATTCGACATTTACTTAATCATCCCATACGCTTAATTCCCATGGAACGATGTAACATCTGCGTAGCATCGATTAACACTTTAACACGAGACATTGGTTCTAATTGTCTTTTCTTTAAGAAGACAACATCATTAGTAGATATTCATTTGCATGATCAATCGCGGATCTATCGGCCCCAACAGTATGCAAATAGACCGAATAAGAAGTCCGCTTTTTGTCGCCGATCATTCCGCGGTTTTGTTTTTATTAGCGTAACCGTTAACTTTTTTTATACCCGATATCGAAATATGCAAATACAGTACTTATTATTATAACACGTGCATTCAAATTTTAATATTAAGAAAAGGTACTGGTACACAACACAGTTAAACCTTGTTATACCGAAGTGTCGGAGAGGCACTCCACGATTCGGTACAGTATAACGAAGTTAGGCCTAAGGTCAAGCATATTCAGCATAATTATCAACAACTCACATGTCAACTCGCACCAACTTTTTCCTCAGAAGCTCAAGCTTCGAATCCTTATCTTTACTTTTAAGTGAGACCGGCACTTGTCAAGATAAGAATCCACGATCAGAACTATTCAACCACCCCACATATTCGAGTTTGTTTTCGCTTTGCAACACTATACAATTCCACCTTTGCGCGAAAGGCTTTATAGTTATTGTCTATGTCACCTTGTTGAAGGAAGTTGAATGCATCTTTAGTAAAGACGGTAGGGGAGATTTTGAGCCACTTTCATTATCATCTTCCTCTTCTACTGCAGGAAAGCGCGGGAACTAATGGCCAATATTTAGACCTTTTTCAGTGCCCACTTTCCATCTCAGAATAAGCGCATACAGCCGTTATTGACATTGCGCTACTTGAACGAGAATCTATATCGAATCTCTGATAGAAGCTCTTCTCGAACAGATGAGTGGAGAATCTTCGGAAGAGGTATGGTAATATAAAATCTATAGAAGGCGAGATGTATTATTGAAGATATTAGAAGAGGTAATCTACAATAAAAATAAACTTATTAGTATCATCCAATTAATTACGTCACATGGAATAAATTTTCGAATGTCTAGAATATTCCGATCGACAATTCTTTGACATAAAAGTAGCGATCGACGTCATCCATTTTTGGTATAATCCCGGACTGAATTGATGACAACGAAATTATCTATACAGCAAATGAGTGTAATAGTAAGCAATTCTGTGTTGTCAGGAATGGCTTATCGAGACGAGGGGTTTTCCATTTTAATTTCCGAAGAAATTGCCAGTATCTCTTTATTACAGGGATCCATCTTAGATAACTTCGTCATAGTTTCATGCTGATGACTCTTAGAGGCTATGGCAGAGTGTTTATTCATGCGATCATAGGAAATTTTTCATGAATTCAAAAAATAATGGTGATTATTAGTGATGCTTTTTTGTCTATTATTCTTATGCCTTTAGTTATTATGTATAGTAATAGGGTCAAATATATATGTTTTCAGGCGAATTAAGACTTTACTTGTCTTTACATACCATTATACCATTATAAATCTACATGTAAATTACAAGTACCTCAACTGATAGAAGATACTCGGCTACCAAATCAGACAGCATTTCAACAGGTAATATAACAATCCAGTATAGTATCTCTTTCATCAAGGAAATTAAATAGAAATTGAAATCAAAAGAAGGAGAAAGAGTGATAATTCGCGACAACATAACCAATGAACCAGAGTCATCCAGATTTGGTTCTTTTGTATAGCTAGTCTGCGCTCATATCTTTTATACTTCCTCTGCAAGTAAGAAAGATTCTACTCGATTGAGCTCCTTTTTAATAGCATCAATTTCAATGCTCAGTTCATAACCTCGCCGTATTCGATCGGCAATAGGTTCAAATTTTATCTCCACCTCCTTGTTGATGCTCGAATGTTTCTGTTGGTCGCCTTCAGCTTTCTCTAACTTATCTATTATCTCAAAATACCATTGCTCATGAACTATAGCTGAATCCCAAATGTCCTTATATTCAATATAGATTTTGTCAAAATAATCGACCAGTTTATCGTACTCGTCTCTACTATTTATAGTTTTCCAATATTTATCGTACGCAGATTTCTCAGCTGCTTCCATTCCTTCACGGTTTTCTCCGGTTTCCAGCCGCTTGATAATGGCTTCATATCGTTGCTGTTTTGTCTTATTCGTTCTCTTCTTCGTATTGGAAATAGGCAGAGACTCAACCTCAACCTCGACCGTCCGTCTTCGCTTTCCTTTCTGCTCTTGTGACACATCGTCAGAGACATCGACGTCGAAAACACTCTTTCTATCTTCCAGTTTGGCAAACTCAACAGGCAGTTTGCCCTTAGATTTGAGGTGTTCCTGGAATATGCTCCAGTGACTGCTATCTTTTCGCGGGAGAAGACTCCGCCACTCAGGAGCATCCAGAGGAATGCCTAGACCATCAAAGGCTTTGATCATATTATCGATAACTCGTATTCTCCTCCTGTGCTCATCTTGCCAATCCGGCCATTCGTGGACCTTGACTTCTTTGAAGGCCTCATTCTTCAACTTCCACTTACCACCATTCCTTGTGCCAATCTACACAATTTTGGATAAAATTAGATGACTTATCCTGCATGCCCCATGAGCGTTTAAGCCAATTTTTATTGATTGCAATCGACAGTAAATTCATCCCGGTACCATATAACATAACATTTAAACTGATCCTTACTTCTTCCAATATCGACATACACAAGTCCTTTGGAGCCGCTGCTCGCTCCACGATTTCTTGAATCCCCCGTTCACCTAATATGGCCAGATCATGCAATATTTTTGAGCGGACCAGTAGAAAATCTTGAGAAGATGCGGATGAGAATGTCGTTTGCGCGGAATCCTTGGCTTTCGATCTGCCCGCCACCGTTTTCTTCGTCGCTGATACTGTGTTTCCTGAATGATCCACTACTTTTATTCTGTAGAAGCAAAAACTTAGATAACACTCTTGAATGCTTTCAGACGGTCAGACGTCCTTACCTCCCCTTTTGCTTCTGTTTCTTCTCTCTTTCAGTTGCAGCCCTAAGTTTTCTTATGGCAGCCTCAGTAGGATGTCCTTTCGGTTTTGCTCTTGCTGTTACTGCGCCCACATACATTAATTGTTTGCGGGTCGTTGGCTTCTTCATGTAAACTCTTTCCGAGATCTGGTCATTCTTTTCGCAAGTAAACTCGTGTGTATGATCACCTATTATGAACTATTAGACACGCTATGTTAGACGAAATATTAAACTTCTTGAGAAGTCTGCTAATATAGTCAATTATAGATACTTAAAAACTCATTGCCCTTTGTGAATTTAATCGAGAGTTTGTTGGTTTTGGCGCTTCCAAGTTCACGCACGACATCTTCGGAGAGCACACACAATATTACTGTCTTTTGCACCTTGGCACTTGTCAAGACATAAGTCCCTTGAGATGCGTTCATTATTCGTTATGATAGATACGGAACTTAGTCAACGGATATTTTGGTTGAAAGTTAAATAGTAACGGTAATCTTGTGTACAGTTTAACAATCGGCTTGTCACACGAGCTTTGTGGCAGTTTACTTAATTACAGCTACGAATTTAAGCGTTTTTTATTATAGTACTAATTCATTACAAGGCGGTCTATGAACTTCTCACGTCTGATCATCGGCTCGGCGACGTTTCCGAGCTGACGTATCGGCTTTTTTAGACTCATTTCTTTGACTTCTCTTTGCCTGAACGAAAAATTGTCATTACTCAGATGTCTATTCAAGACTTCTTGTACAGATTATACCTACCTTATCTTTCGATGATCCTAGCCCTTGCCGCTTCACTAATACTTTCATGAAATCTTTTGGCAAATAATTCTTGACCATTATCTTTCGGAAAATCGTGTGATTATATATATATGAGATAACGTTCGCTTCTCAATTTAACAGTGCTTATTATTCTATTACCTCAGCAGCGGCTGGCGCGTCAAGAAGGGGACGAAACATATCTTTTGGCAGCACAACTTGATTCGGAAATGATAACAGCGTCCATGAAGATGCTTTGCATCTCTCACGAATCAGATGCTGTGCTAAATCACTGAGTGTATATAAATTCTAAGAGACATGATAAATTAGAGATATTTCATACGGATTTCCAGGCAATTAAACCTTCCTTACATCACTTTTCGCCGACGGGTCAATATCTTGTACTTGTTTCAACCGACCGACAATATAATACAGAAATGACATATTGTCCGCATTGGCCACGGTATCAAGAAAGAAATCGATATACCTGAGCCATCGTAAACGTTTGTCGATATTAGCAGAGATTACATTCACCGGATTTATGTATTATAACATATATCTGCTTACTTCATAGCATCAATAAGATCCTTAATCTCACAAGAGAAATCCGGATGATGAGAAAGTAGATATATAAGGCGAACTAGTGCCATTTCGAACATTGCCAGGTTATCTTCCCCTAAACGAAAATCACCTTAGTCTTAATAATATACATCTATAACAATACATTCGAAATCGATTGCTTACGCATCAACCTAGCAGCTCGATAGTGTTTCAGGACGAAGACTTTTACCTAAATAGAATGAATGAATGAATAAATAAAATCTTTAAAGTTTTGACAAAAAAATGTATGGACGTTCAGCAAAAACATTAGACATGCCATGGGAAGTATGTCCGATCCTTCTGGCTCATGTGCCACCAAAAAGAATATAGCCAGAAACCGCGCACTCAGCTGATAACCACTACAATAACGTATGAGGCGTGATGAAAATGCGTGTCGTACTTGATAACAGGGATCCTCATTAGCAGAGAATATTCAAGTTAACGTTAGTCATTGACATTATGATCATCTATTCAAATTACTGCTCACCTGTATCATCAGTGCCAATTCTTTGAAATCGCCTACAGGTATCATATTGTCATAGACCTTCTTACGCGCTAATTTTAGTACTGATTTAGCAGCAGCTAGTCTTAACCGACTTTGGAATGATGGGCTTTATCGGAAATTTATCCAACAAACCATATTACAGAATAAGACCACATTAACCAATTTTGATGTAAACAATAAATACGTCTCAACCAAAATTTTACCTTGTTGACTTGTCAGGAAGAAATTCACCGCCTTCTCTTATTAAAGTCCATAATAACTTAAAAACTGGCTTCGCTAGATCTTCCGCCGCCTCATCTTCAGGACGTGCGATAAGCCGATTAACGAGTATTTTTAAACCAAGCACCTACATTTACCAACCACATATTACTACTATCAAGAACGCCAGATATCACGGTTACTGGTAAGCGCCAATATACCTTAGCTTTGCATTCATCATCAAGTTCTTCATCCTTCACCCATTCTGGCTCATTAGGGGTAGCCTATTAGAAAGCCATACTTAATTTAGTTATATTACTTCCCTTCTGTTCAACGTACATTATAATTGCATTACCTCATGTCGGTTCTTTAATATCAATTCATTAAGTATGAAATTTGTAATGTCATCGCTCCTATTTTCGTATGATTGAACGGAGTAGAGCGCGACTTGGCTTAAGACAGATAGGTGAGCAAGCAGATGATAGGAATGGATCGAAAGTGCTGGAAGAATTTGCTGTGGCATGGATAACACGCATCAGCCAATTTACAAGCTTCAAAAAGAAAAAATAAATAACTCTTAATAATTGCCTGTAGCAACTCTCCGGAGATTTCATGTTTATCTCTCATATGTCCCATTATCATAGAAGCGCGTCTTGCTTGTATTGGTGTGCCTTCCATTGCGTATCTAAATAAGCGCTCTCTGCATTGGCTATAAAAAAAATTAGTATAACCGTCGAGGATACACGTACATAATTTACAACAGTCGCTTACATGTCCTGGGGTGTTTCATCGGGGTACGTCTTAGAAAATTTGGCCAATGCTTCCAGCGTATTCTCAACTAGAGAGATCGTGATAGAAGCAATAAGAATTGAGTCTAATACGCGTGTTATCATCAGTTAGCAAGCATACCCGATAGATCGTTTAGATCTTCAGATAGTAAACGCATCAACTCATTGACATGAGCGCGATAAAGTGCGGGAAATCGCGATGAAATATCCTAATTAAATCAATGACATCATCAATCATATTTTCAAACAGAAGACCATAACAGCAGTATACGATGAGTAACCTTGAGCAGTTCCTGTGTAGTTGATACAATATTCTTTGACCGGCTCGTTGATGGCGGCAAATCCCTCAACTTGTGTAATAATAGAGGAACGATATCGCCATTAAATATGGTCAGACTTACTCGTCGTATGAGAATAGAGAACGTCTCTAGAGCTGATGCGGCTGATTGTTCTATATGCTTGAACACGTCTTTCTGTAATATTGACCATTAAGGCCTGGTTAACATGTATAGACAACGAGTCATTGTGAATGACAACAATCTATCACAAACTTCGGCTTTCTTGACAGTTTTATAATCAGACTCCGGGCTCATTAGATCTCGCAACAATCTGTACAATCTGATATCGTTCAGTTTAGCTACGTTCGACAGATGATTGATCGACTTCGGTGGATCAGGAAGTTTGCCTATGATGATTTTATCAAGAGAAGATTAGCTATCTCTAACCAACAAATATAAGATTCACGACCAGTACATACCTGCTATTCGCTTTACCACTTGAGCAAGGAGGACAGCCACTTTTTCTTCTTCCTTACCATCTCCACCCTAATACCAGCAAGCTGTTGACATGCGACTAGACAACTGAATTATTTAATAGCACATTATGCAAAGTATACCTTATATTTTTCGCACATTCTTAAGTATACATCCATTTCATTCATGGCGCTATTTCAAGAGTTAAATAGACATATTGTTAATGGAATTACTGACAGGCTGTTTTAGAATAAACTGCAGAAAGAGTGCACGAGTCAGGTACGTACTCCCTTTGTCTTTGAAATAAAGAAAAAAAGGCTTTCTTAGCCTTCCCATCCAAGCTCTGAAGCACAATTAACATGCGCTCTACACGAGCAGAGACATCAGAATTATGCGGAAGAATCTGTTCGTGCAAGACCTTTTCAACACACGCTCTAAATAACAAATAATCAGCCATAATGTTCAAAGACGTGGACAAAATCCAATAATTTCACTTACATAATTTCGTTGTCGTTTGTATATAATGTATTTAGGATCTCTTTTGGTATCCAATCAAACTTCTCCATAACCTTTTCCTCAAAGTCAGCTCTAATATAAATATATGTAAATATTAATAGATCTAATGTACAGAGTAAGAAAACCAAACCTACATTTCAATAAAAGCCAGATTATACAGTCGGGCGAGAGAATTTATTGCTTCTTGTCTAACACCTTGCTGTTTTCGACAATATAGGTTTTTAACGGACACAATTTACTCATAAATCAATTTAGTCATCACAGCATTATATGCCAAAATTGAGCTCTGAAGTTCCTTATTACCTTTCTATCACGACAACGGCTTCCTAATACTTCAAGCAGTTCTTTATCCACAAGTTTCAAAGCACTTTCATAATCTATTTGACTGAATATCTTACAAAACGCAATCCGTACCTTCTCATCTGGATCAGACATCTTGGAACGAATTGCGTCTTGTAAGAGAAAAAAGGTAAATTGCTGACCAATGTATTGTAACACGTTGCAATCAACATACCATTAATTTGCTTCGCAAGTTCGGGATGATTTTGATACAAGGCTAAACAGTGGTCTGCCCATGCAATACGCACGACAGCTACTTTGTCATTTCGTCTATTATTTCAAGTTTTAGGATTTAAATCAACTATGCAGAAAATGTTCAATCTCTCAGATTAGACTGGCCGACAGACCTTGATAACCACGTTTTCCATAGATTGTCATAGTCTGTCGCAAGAGTTGAGCCTTTTTCGGCAAACATTTCGCCAAGAACTTGCGTCGCAACCAGACGTAAGTTGAGATCGTCAAGCTATGATAAATCAATATATGAAAAATTTGATTGACTAAACCCTCATAAAAGTTTGTCGACGTACTTTTAATTCTTCTTCTAATTGTGGAACTACGTTCAATAGCAGCTTTGGCACAGATCGATTAAGCCCCTTGATCAAATCGTGTGCACTTTTAAAGCTATTTAAGTCCTCTTGCGACGCCCCACTCTTTTCTGAAGCAGACACTATAACATGTGTAAAATACTACGAATGGACATAAAATAACTATTAAACCTTTTAAATCAATAGTGGTTATGCGTGATCGATCGATCAACTTACTTGAGATACACATCGCTGTAACTTGTCAATAGCACTATTACATAAATCATACGCCAATTTATATGCAGCAGGATTCTCGTCCTACAAATAAGAGTTTTTACTTGTGAGAATGGAATAACACATCAGCATAAGTTTATTATATGACAGACCTTTCGTTCATCAAACTGAGACAGAATGGCTTTGAATGCATTTTTCGGAAGAGATGAACTCTCCTCAGTCAATTGGTACAAGATATCTAACATATGTTTATGTACATTCTTAGGCATTTCTGGCCTTTTGTCAATTAAAGTTAATAACAACATTGTAGAAAGCAGTAGTGTTTACGAAATACAGTTTACCTGATTACGTCAAAAAAATCGTGAAATAATTGATCCATTAATCCGTCACTGTCTTGAAGATCTAGTATGAGAAGCACTATCTTTACTGTAGACAAGGTTTCAAGAAGATGAAAAATAGTGTCGAAATAAGGTCCTGAGGTGTCGCTTATATTCTGAAGCTGACGGACAAAAAAGTCAAAGACGTCCTAAATCATATAACCAGGAAGAGAGAAGGGTCTACACAGTCAGATATCAATATATAACATATAAACTCTTTACAAACAAACATAGACTAAGCATACCCGCAACTCTCCGTCGGTATAGGGAGCATCAGGAGCATGAAGCCGCAGGACATCTGCTAAACAAGCTGCAACATATGCCTTGACGCTTTTATCTTTATGTCCAGTTAACGATTCGTTGATCAACTCTTTTGTTATACTCGCAAGTGAATCCGTATCAACCTCCTCTTGATCGATCTTCTTTAATTCTTCATGTAACGTCTATTATAGTTGAAAGTCCTATTAGCCACCTAATATTTTATGTGTATTCTATGTGCCAAATTCGTGCATCCAACCTTCAAGCGTTTGACCAATTCGATTGTTGCTATTTGTTTCGACGATCCCGAAACCAATTTCTGTTTAAAGCGAAGTCGAACACCGCGTGATGTTGAAGCACCTTTAGTCGCTACCATTTTACATTAAGCGGATATTAGACGAAATACGCGCGTTTCTGCAAATTGAATACTCGCGTGCGACCGTACACATTTATTTCGCTTTGAGACGACCAAATGTGACTTGACATCACGTGCAATTGAGGTAACCTACGGCAAGTTCTTCGAACTCACTTTCCTCCGAACTTTTAATCGATTCTGCATCAGATACAGCCTAGATAAACCATGCTACTACTATTCACTTTCAGTATCGTGGTTGATGAATATTTGTAAAATGAGTCAGCCATATATACAATTTCCGTTTACATATTGCGACCAAGCATTTTTGTCCACATTTCCCAACAGTCTGTACAATTGGCTTGCTTGCTCAACCTTGAATTCCAGGCTACGGTTGGACCAAACATAATCGTTTATTAGTAAAATACTTGCATGCGTTGGGTTATGGAACTTATCCGAAATATTCAGCAATCAAAATGAGGTTCTTGGATAGAGATTACAGTACATTCATTTATGTTCTGTTGCATTACGAGTTATTCTTAAAAAATAGACTCTATAAATTGATATGTAATAGTTTTGGGGGTAAGCTTTATATAGTCATTTTCTTTTTTAAAAAGTATCTCGTCACCATTTACTTTCTACAAATTTGGGCTTGGTAAACAATGAAGAAATCTTATTTCGTTCATTTTAAGATTTGTTTCCATGTCTGTAAGAACACTTTGCGCAAAGTTCCTGAAACGTATAAGTGACCAGATATATTTTTACATGTAGTTATATAGGGATGCCAGTCGGACTACGCGTTGAATCAGCTGTCTATATGGAATACGTCTCCAAAGTCTATTTTTGCTCGTGTTTAAACTACAATCGAGCTATTTTTCTTGACGCAGACGAATAATAGTCCGTATTATTTAGAAAGAGTTAGTTGTTCGACGCGTCTCTAAATTACTTAGTATTAACGTTATTTGTTTATCACGTGATACTACTGTCCGATAGGATCGGCACATATCTTATGATGATTAATGCCAAAAATAGAATGTCTATCAGAGTTTTTAAGTCACTGGTGTTTACGTATTAGTGTTTTTGATCTCATTCGTCACTATGCCATCAACCTCAACGTCGAGCGAACAACAGTTTCGAGAATCCCTAAGATCCTTTCGTTGGGCTTCCAACTCCAGCGGCACATCAACCACGAAGTCTACAACGCCCCTGTCGAGACTGACCGAAACAACGTCAAACTTTTTCGGCAGTGTCGGCAATAGGATGCAAGGCTATGTGCCTTTGACCGGGAATGCAGAGCAGGAAGAGGGCTGGTTTACTTTAACAAGGTGGCAAGTGAGTAACTACACGTGGTTGGTTACTACTTGGAAGGGTTTGAATGCTAAATTATCTTTTTCCCTCTCGTAGCGTCTCACCGGGTTTGCAGTATGTCTTGCGACAGCTGCTCTTTGTTTCATAATTGTAAGTAGTTTCTGTTCTTGTGTTTATTCTAGTACAAATATGTTATGGATCGTACCTATATCTTCAGTCATCTCGTTTGCAATCAATTACATTACTTCGATTAGTTGCTAATCATGAGCATGATAAGCAGGCAAGTAACAGAATCGTTGTTATTTACTTGTATAAAGAAATTTGCGATTGGATTGGATTGAAGATGAATATATGAAACAGAAATTTTCATGTGGCTTGTTGCCAGATGGAAGATTTATTGAACGCCAATCTTTGAATATCCTATGGTGTTAGGATATCAGTCCCCTTTCAGTCTCAATGGATATGGTGTAATCGACGTTAATTGTCGCCGATAGGGCAGCTAACCCAGAATCCTAACAAGGATCTTGAGTAGAAATATGATTTTATCCAATTCCGGTATTTCTTTATACAGGTAAATATTGGCGATTCCATAATTAATAACTAATCGTTGATTTAATTGAAGTGTGTTTTATTTTATTTGTCTTGTTATTTTCCGATCGGAATAGTTGATTATTGTTGATTAATCGACTAACGATTCACAGCACTAATATCAAAGTGTGGTGTCGATTGAACAGGCGGCCTTAACTATACCCATAATTGCAATAAAACCGAGGAAATTTGCTGTCACTTATACTATGGGGAGTCTTCTGGTAGTTACAAGGTCTGTTTTTACATTCGATATTTCGATACTTAACAAGTACTCGTGTAGAGGCTATTACTTGTATTGATTATTTTTCTTTCTTAGTATTGCGCTGCTACATGGTCCATTGGCACATTTTAAACATATATTCGGACGCGATAGACTACCCTTTACCTTCACTTACATCGGATCTATGCTTGCTACGTTATACTGTGCAATTGTGGTGGGTTTACATGTCTAGAGTTGGGTATATCTTGTCATATTGCAATTTTTGCGCTCTAATAATTTTTTTATTCTTATAGATGCATAGTTATCTCTTTACAATACTGTTTACCGTGTTACAAATGATTGCTCTAGTGTGGTAAGTCGAATATACAAATTAAAATGAGATTATGGCTTCCGGTGTAGTCCCCATATTTAATGCTCGCACGATCAGCTGTTAACGCCTTTCAAAGCTCATATATTTATCCTATATTCTTTACGAAATACACTTTTTAGGTACGTTATCTCGTATCTCCCGGGAGGGGTTGGTTCTCTCCAATATGGGACAAGAATGCTGGCATCCAACATTCTTCCGTTCTGAACAAAGTAACAACGCTTTAGATGTTTGTTAAATATCTAAATTAATATTATAACAATAAGTTCGGTTTCATGTTAGGTGATTTCATAATAAGTTCTGATTGACAGAAAGTTATGCGTTCTGCGAAGACCTAAATTTATGTTGTCGAATATTCAAGTCAGATGATCAATCATTATTATTGTACTAGCAAATATTAATACTAAAATTGGATCATTGAGTTATATTTAATTGTGCTAGTAATTTCGAGATGAGACAAATATTTGTGGGGTTTTTCACACGTAACTATTGTGTGACCTTCACATAATAGCACACGCTAAAAGTGTGATAAAGTTTGGAAGAGAAGGTTTACACGCGTCACAAGTATCGAAATATATATTCGATAAGTATGCGTGGTGTATGCGTGGTTTCAACACGATTTCTATGACGAACCTTCTGTCTGACGTAATAATAGCTACCCAAATATTTTATATTAAAACATTATATTGTTTCCTAAAATGTTAATGTAGACTTTATGACTACTCTACTACGTAATCAATTAAACTTATTAGGAGAATTCATTGTTTATGAGACCTAGCCAATGACAAAATCGTATATTCGATGAGGTTTGGAAGAGTTTCAAAACTGTCCTGGGAAAATATGCTTTTCATAAAGACGGACAACAAGGGCTTAGTTTTACTAGGACTCTTAGCGTGCTGTTTATTTGCTCTTGGACAAGCAAGTGACAACACTCCCGATGCTAAAAATGCTATTCCTTTGCGAACTCACTCTCTATACATTCCCTATATTGGTATTGCCCAGATCTTTCCTCAAAGTGATAAGACAATTTAAAAGCAAAATATTTATATTGGTCATCATTTCGTAGACCAGGAACTACAAAATCGATGGTTTGACTTTGGAGGAGACGCTGTAATCAACACTAATAAGCATGTGCGTCTAACTCACGATCGTCAGTCTCAGTCGGGTTGGTTATGGAGTCGTCTGGTAAGCATTGTTGGTTTGAAGGTGTCTCCACCATTTAACTGAATTATCAACTGGTCGTATTTGTTTTGTTTTGTTTTTTTTTTTCATAACGATACTTTATCTGCAGCCTTTGACCGCTACCAATTGGCAAGTTGAGTTTGAATTCAAAATCGATGGATCCAATCCCGTACTATTTGGGGATGGTATGGCTGTATGGTTTACCAAACAACGCGCTCAGACTGGTCCTGTCTTTGGATTTATGGATTATTTTGAAGGCTTGGGCATCTTTTTTGACACTTATGCTAATTCTCGACAGTCGGTGTGTAGTGATCATTTCTGTGCGAAAACCTATGTCTTCGTAAGGATTAATCGTATCTTTTATTACAGCACTCGTTTCCATATGTAATGGCTATGAAAGGAGATGGCAAGACTTCATATGACTTGGCTAGAGACGGTAAAGCCAATGAACTTGCTGGATGTGAGGTATATCGGAAGCAGATAGAATATTTCCTGTATCTATGCGTAGTCCATATGTCTTACCCCGTATTACCACGTTTGTAGGCCGACATTCGAGGCAGACAACTCCCGACTAAAGCTCGTATAAGTTACTTCAAGGATAACTATCTCGAGGTGGGAGCTTGACGAAGCTCACAGAATATGCACAAAACTCAATGCTAATATAATATTTATTTTAAAAGCTTAAATTGCATTATAAAGATTGGGATCAATGGGAGCCTTGTTTTACTCTCTCAAACGTCTCACTTCCGACAGTCTACTATCTTGGGTTTACCGCATTGACTGGAGAGGTTTCCGGTAAGTTAATTAGTTTGCTTATCGTTACGTAAATTGCACACATATTCTAATCATGATCTGTCGTAGATAATCATGATGTCATAAGCGTTGCAACGAACAATATCGTAGCCCCTCCACAAAGAATGAAACATCCCGAGGTGAGTAAGATGTTTTACACGATTATGAGACACATCGATCACTTGCTAAAAGAGTACCGGAAATATTTTTACAGAACTCAATGTACTACCAGCATTCCTCATCAAGCTGGTCCGGTCTTCTCTTTATGTTAAAGCTAATTGCTACGGTTGTTTTTATCGGAATACTAATTATGGTATATAGAGTGTATATAAATCAATCGAATAAGCGATTCTAAGCTCGTTCTCGTTGGAATATCAGCGTTTGACAAGTTTAAATTGTTTCGAATCAACGGCACTGTAGCATTTTGTTATGTCTGATTCGTAGACAGAAATGTTTGTTCATGTAAAAGAGTTAAGAATTGCATAAACCTGTTTAGACAGCAAAGCGTATGAACAAAATACACTATAAATTGGAAAGATGCACTTTGCCAGGGGCAATGGGTCCTCTTCATCATGGCTCCCAGATTAGTATACCCTTGTACATTATAGATTTCTTTTCGAGTCTTGAAGTTGCGAATTGACTTTGAAGACAGCCAATGTGACGGTGGCGTATCCAGCCACACCGCGGCTTGACAACAAAGCAACCGCAATGTCTGTCGCGCTGTAATGACTTGCCTGAGAATAAGCAGTCATACACGCTCTTTCTATCATAGACTAAGTTTTGAAACGTGATAACTTTGTTTTCGTAATAAAACTCAATTCAGTATCAACATCGTCCTACTGCGTTAGTCAGATGTCAATAACGATGGCAAAGTATGTGGGCCAGTTATTCCCTCAAAATATAAAACGAAGGTTTTCATTCATACCGGCATATAAACATGAGGATTAAACACAGCGTGTGTATAAGTATTCTGGGACGGAGAGCATTGTACACATCTCACTATATCGTAATTGTTTCCGAAAAAGGGAACAGTTAGTGTAACCAGCAAAACCCAAAACGTCCTGCAGTAAGCTAAACCAATTTATAAATCGTAGCAATAATTCATCTGAAGACTTCCATCCGAGCATTCTCAGCATGTAGTTGAATGGGTACACGCGACACAGCTACATTGCTCATCCTTCTACACATACTGCATATATCAAACTTGAGATTTATTTCCAACAGTTGACAGCAGGAATCAACCAAAGGGACAACGAATTTACTATAACTGAATACTAATACAGTAAGCATATTTTACATTGTCGAGGTTCGATCTCAGCACAACAGCATTTTCGTTGGGATAGCGCCCCTTGTTCCATGGTCGTCCGTTACGGCCACCTCAAATTGTAAGGTCATCGAAATCTTCGACACATTAGAATGAAAATTGATAACATTACAGCAAAATTCAAACATATTATTTAAATAGCCTGATAATATCAAGCTCTCTGTAAATTTTAATAAATCTAGAAACTGCCATATACTCTTCCGTGAACCGTTGATTTTACTAAACCACTTCAGTAATGTTACATGTTCAAGTATCTGCCTAGTACACATTTCATTATTTAGTAAAGGCCCTCCTAACTTTTGTCTTCTCTTCAGCATTAGACTCCTTTGATTTCACTCTCTGTGCGCCGCCTTTCCGATAATATAAAATTAGACCCCTTTTCATAAATAACGTGAAATCACAACGTACACAACATTACCTGTTACACCTCTTTTATTTATCGTACTAGGCGCAGTCTGGGAAAGAGGTTGCGGGTTCTCCTTGGCCTGCGCATATGAATACGCTTTGCGCAGGGGCGGTCGGAATGGCTTTGGTGGTTGTTTATCCTGTATACCAAGATACTTTTTTGTCGTTCCTGGTAATGTATCGACGAAGCTGAAATCAAAACCAAGAGACTTCAGCTGGATAGTGACTGAAAATGCTCAATTTAAAAGCCAAGTGCAAACATACTCTTGTAACCTTAGGTCAAATTTAAGCTTGTAGACCTCGAAGGTTTTTTTTGTCGTCGCTCTTACGGCGGGCGTCGAGTCGATAGCTCCTTCTCGTATTGCCAATTCCAAATCGTCGATATAATCAGTTAAACTACCCACATCGTTCGCTTCCAAACTAGCAAGAATAAACTCAGCCGCACAAGCCCGTAAATTCTTGCTTGGATCCTGTAAAGCTTCCCTGAATTTCGGAATGACGGCGGGAATATAAGAAACTTTAATGATACCAATCATACACTTTTGGGCTCTAGTGATGAATATTTTGTTCGTGCGCATACACAGTTTCAATATGGCTGCAACGTATGTGTCTGCCATAGGTTGAAATTTAGGACCTAAAGCTTTGGCAATTTCTTCAATCAATTCGACAGCAGTTCCAGACAGACGCGTTCTGTCTGTGAGTAACTATAGTAATTGAGTTTGTGGTCGAAGAGTTCAATAAAATATTTCCTTAAACTAAGTAATAGCAGTAGTTTGTTATGAAAGGTGCACGTTAAACCTACCGAATTTAAAATAGATTTTCGCAAAACCTTTAATCCGTGAAGAAATGAGCTCTCGTATTTGTATGCACCATTTTGTATCATTATGGTTAGCCGACTCAATGCCTCATCAAATCCTTGCCAGGTGTGTTCAGATTCTTTTTCTTGAAATATCTCCTGTATTTTTTTTATTTCTGCGTCGAATTGCTCGGCGCTTTCGATCTTATATTAATAATACAATTAACGTGAACAACTTTGGCATTGTCTGTTATCAGGTAGGTATGGAATCGCTAAGCTAGAGTCACATGCTAAGCGAAAAGGGGTTTACAGTCTTCCCGGTGAGTACGGCTTACCTTGATTTCTTGCTTCTCTGACATTTTATTTCTAGACCCAAGCGGTGAACGTGAAAATATGCGAGTAAGCGTATTATTAAAAAAAGAACAGTGAGTTGTATATCTTCCGGTGTTAACGTTATTATGATGCTGGATCTTTTTCCCGTTGCGCTTCGTGTTTTGAGCTCGAGCTTTCGAGACAGTTATTTGTTTGAGACACGATGGCGAGACAGTAATGCATGTGTGTGTCCCGTGATTCAGGTTTGAGTTGTGGCTTGTGCTACAGCCTTATAATATTACTGGTCAACTGCAGGCTGATTAGCATAATAATGCATAATAATAATTATAATTAGTAATAGTAATAATATTCATGTTAATCTGTGATATACCCAACGCATTTTATGAACCCTGCCGCATCCAGAATATTATTTGTCATCGCCACACCAAATGTTCTACTTTGTGCTTGAGGGAAAGTTATAACGTATAATTTAACGTTTGGCATACAATAAAGATCTTGCCATCCGATCCACCTATCGTGCATGTTGCGACATCGATATCAATTCCGCTGCATAGCAAATCCGGTCTACGGAAGGCGATATCGTTATTTCAGGAGGTACCAGTGCATACTTGCGAATGGGAAATAATTGTGATTGCAGTTTGTAATAATTGAAAGGTTTGTGGCTGTTGTTAGAAGACCTTGATAATCATTCTTGGACATTGGAACCAGATAAGCCCAAGTGAGTGATTTAATGTGAAAAATAGCACTTGGCAATCATTGAACGATGCTGATGTTAAGAATCCGAGATGAACCTGTGAGTGTAGTAGACTATTTGGCAGTGAGAAGACTGTTGGTCCATTGCAAGATACTTATGAAGGTATATTAACAGAGAAATGTCAGAGTGTCATGAAACAAGTATCTAATCTTTATAACAGGAACACATGATATTCATCCTTTAGTTATTGGATGAGCAGTAACAGCAATTTACAGCGTCGTAATCTCAGAATTACATAAATTATTATTGCAAAAGTCACGTAGGGAAAAAAAGCGAACTACATGTTAATTGTCATTGTTGCCGGGAAACTCGTAACTAGATGCAGATATGTTGTCCCAATTATAAACGGCAGTTAATGTTGGTAGTCCGCAACTTTCATTGTTTCAACGATCACAGCAACCAAATGGCAACCTGTTGAATGGGTGGTATCATTCAATTATTCAACTCCTCAGGTACACAGCAAATACGGCAGCTTGTTCAACCTCCCCAACAGCAACCACAGATTGACCCACTACACTAACAATTTCCGCGAATAAGGCCTCATATTGCACAAACAAACACACCATAGAACCAACCGGTCAATACGACATTGGACGAATTATTCGTCTAGGCAAACATGTGGGTAGTCTTCTTTCTATCAAGAACAGGCTGGCTGCCTCTAGTTCAAACGTAAGAAGGAAAAGGTCTTGACTTGACAACCATCTTTCGGACGCGGCGAAAAATCAAACACCAGCGAAGTGACATCAACGTTAGCATATAAGTGCATCAATGAGATTTGTTTATAATGTAAGGGATGATCAGAACGGTTGCTGTTGGAGTTAAGCAAAGCAATAGTAACTGTATGTCTTCTATATGACCATCAATAATAATAGGTCGAATAATTCCGTCCTTCTTTATAGTTAAGTTTTCTCTCCTTAGGCGTCCTTAACAATCTTCATAATATACTGTCATTAATAACTATAAAGTCCGATTTGTCTGTTATCAAAATACTGTATTATTGGCTTTAAGAAAGAAACGAATCAAAATCGGCGCATTTGTTCTTGCCTAATTAATAAAGTAGCATGTTGTTGTCCCTAGCGCTAGTCGTCATAACTTCCTGTTACCTTATCGGGAAACAATAAATTTGACAATTATTTATAGATTTATAATAATAAGCTTTTGTTCATCAACTTGCCGCTGTGAACAATAAAAAGTAGTGTTAGAATCTTCTATTTACTATTTTCATGCGCGCTTTTCGGTTCCGCCATTCAATGTTAGAGTGTATGCGTTTCCGCATTTAATATGAAATTGTATGTGTTCCGCCATTGTATGCGTTTTATAAACTCCTTCCTCAATGCTAACACCACCACCACCACCACCGACAACGCCAAGAAAACGTTCAAGCAAAAGAGGTCCTCAGTCCCCCTAAGAATTTTTCAGTACTAACGTAAGACCTTAATTAGAACGGAAAAGTCTCAGAAATTGCGGTTACCGACTCTGCCGTGAATTCATCCACTCCTCACATACGACAAAACTCATGGTTCTCGTCAACGAGGCGACTTCCGACGACTACGAACTTTCCCTGCAATCAAGCAAGGAAGAAGAGTCACCCGAAGAGAATCCCACAGAAGGGGGAAAAAACGCAAAATCAGGACAACAGCAGCACGCAACAAACGACAACGCTTGGAAGCTCTCAATCGTACGCTGCTAGGCAATCTATCTAATAATCTTCAAAAACAACTATTGAAGTGGTCGCTCCTTATATCAAGGATTCACGTGTTGGTGGGTTTGGAGATAAGCGTAGACTCCCGTTTCCTAGTTTATTTATTTATTTATGTTAATTTTAGGATAATTAACAGAAAGATTTACGAACCGTTTTATGTCAAAATTTGTCAATGCTTTCCGCATAAACAACTCTGCGAAACTCTCCCACCAAAGTGTAAGTAAATCTTCTGACAAGCTGGCTGCTTCTAGCTCTAATGTAAAAAGAAAACGGCCTCGCGACTTGATAAGGCAGTCTCTCGGATGCGACGGAAATCAAACACCTGTAAAGTGAAGTTCATAAAAAGTGTCGCATATTTTATTCGCAAATTTGATGTTGTTATCATTCTTCTTTTGCAAATATGTAATCGAAAAACAAGAAAGATAACAAGAAAAGCCCGTTCGTAAATGCTCGCAGCTAAAGCAGAAGAATTGTATTATCCCAAATGAGGCCTAAACTGTGGAACTAATGAAATGACGCTCGGGAAATTGCTGGTAGTGTCTACTGATGTGTTACAAACTGTAAATTATGATTGCGTAATCAATGATGACGGATTTTCGTCTTTCTATAAAAATAAATCCAAAAATACAGTATCCAAAAAAACAGTTTCTCTTCCCCAAACATTACACGATCGTTGTTGACGTAAAACATTATTATTATTATCTTTATTTAAGCAATGGAATTGCCAGACGTAGGCCGTCAGTGTGCTGAACCTTATTGTAAACAGCTAGATTATTTGCCTTTCAAGTGTTCTTATTGTAAGAAGGACTATTGCCAAGATCATCGTAAAGCAAAAGCTCATAACTGCCAGTTAGCGCCAAGTGAGGAAGGTGTTCGTGTACCGACTTGCCCGTTGTGTGGTCTTCCGGTACCAGTGAGCAAGGGCGAAGATCCAAACATTAGGGTATTTATACGTTTTTCCTCGCATATAAAATGTCATTGTTGTTTTGGCAATCTATTCATATTCATCGATGACTTTATGTTGAACGGCGTGCCGTCAAGTAGATGGACCGGCATATATCAAATTTCTGCAAACCAGCACCAAAAAGCACTTCGACAAAGCCATTCAATTCGTGCTCGTATGCTAGATGCAAAAACAGAGTTGCAGTGCGTCTCGTTTGCACTGGATGCAGAAAGTCATATTGTATTAAACATCGCTTGCAAGTCGATCATGATTGTGCAAGTGCTAGTAACAATAGTGGGAAGGTAGGCGCAAGAGGCGGGCCTGCACTAACAAAGAATAATCAAAAAAATCCAATAATTAATCTTATAGATGATTTCTCAAAGTTAATCAAATGACAGACTGTTATAGTATAATATGAACACTATATACATTTATATTAATAATAATTTATCGTTATTATAAATTATTACTATTACTAGTATGCAACGAGTTATCAAAAATTACTGTTGTGTAACGTTCACTTTATGAAATTGAGAACTGCGAACTATCACGACTTTGTGTGCTAAAGGACAAGCCAGTATTATCTATTACTATTGCTTCAATGCAATGAATCCCTTTATCAATGTATTAACTAAGAACAGTCATGGGCATCGCTTTTCAAGCACAATCAATTATCCGTAAGCGATGATCCACTTCACCCACCCCCTTCGCCACCCGTTATTGCTGCTAACTTTGTTTTATTCGGGATGAGGGTTTTGTTGCTAAATTTCTCAGACGCTGCTATTTATATTGGGCTGACGACCTGACGACCTGATTACCAAATTTTGCATAGTTGAGTGAGACAAACCGCTTTCTGAAAATCAATATCAACGCCGATGACGACATAATGTTCTGAGAAATGCGAAAAATTAGCTTCCCAAATGCCCGAATTTTAGGGCAACAAAAAGCTTCGCGAAGTTAATACGAACCTCAAAAGCTATCATCTTCCAACGCCCGACTTTCGTGTTTCCGTCAGGATGACGCACTTGTCTTACGTAAAATTACTATTAACTGTACATTCAGAATTAGCGAAATATGACGCAATGGGAAAAAGACTCGAGGTTGTGGAGTAACTGATATATATAAAGGAAGATGGATGGAAACCCTGATGAAACAATTTATATCAAACATTTTATTACATTTTGCCAAACATGTCTAAGCTTCCACCCAAAGATGATCCGGAGCGCACTGCCAGAGAAGTGCAGGCATTGAGACAACAGGATAAGGCTATTGAAATCAGTGAGGCATTAAGGCAGGCATCATCTTTCTTTGAATACTTATATAAAGAAAAGTGATTTTAGTAGTTGGATATTCATCACACGCCATCTTACAGCGAGGGAAAACTACCTACCACTGCCCAAATAACTTCGGCTATCGAAGATGTTCAACGCTCGGACGTGCTTTACGATACGGCACGTGGAATGTCACCCTCGGGGAAAAAAGTCCTTGTAGACACGGAAAAGGTGTTGGAAAGTGCAAAGGCGGTATTGGAAGAAAAAAATGCAGAAGACGAGTTACAGAAAGTTATCTATTACGGAACACAAGCTGCTAAGGATTTGAGTGGTATGCAATATCAATGCTTGATAACATAGTCTGTGAAGTTCAGTTTCGACAATATTTGAACATCGCTTCTAATTTTAAAAATCTGATGAATAGACGCGGGGGTAACAGACATTCCGGAAGACTTGAAAGCAAGGGCTGGGGAGGGTGCCACAACAACGCAATCTCTCGCACGCGAAGGCATTAGTAAAACAATGAATCTTGCGCGTCTCCTTGTATCTTCATCCGAATTTCGTAAACTAGTCAATGATATCCTGTCCATCATTCGCGACGTTCTCCGTCAATCCGTTGCATCAGGAGATGAGGAGCAGCGAGATATCGGTGCTGGTGTTGGTACCGATCATGAGAAATCAGTAGGCCAAGCCATTGACGAGACCACTGGTAAATTACGCGAGACTGTTCATCCGATGGCCCGTTCGGCCGCTGATGTTGCTGAACCAATTATCGAACGCTATAGTAAGGGAGATATATCCTTTGAGGAAGCAGCGAAGACCGGCGCTAAGACCTTTGCTTCGAACGTCCGCTCGTCTATTACTAGTCTTAGTCTACCACCTGAGAAACGCGATGCGATCGTTAATAGATTTAAGAATTTAATTGTCCAAGCTCAGAAGAGTAAAGAATACCATGATGCATTAGAAGATTTTATTAGTATAGTAACACACATCGCTTCGCACGCCCAACAGTTGACGACGCATGTCTCGCAAAAAACAAGCGAGGCACAGACGCCCGCGTTTGAGGTTGCCGAACAAAATGCGAAAGAGCTGGTTGAGAATTTTGCCGGCCATCAGTCACTCGATTCTCTGATTTCCGTGCTGAGAGAATTCTCTGTCAAAGTACAAGAGGACAATGAGCTTCGTCAATACTTGTGTGATCTAAGTGATTTCGTGATCAAGTCGTTGCGGGATCCTGAATTTATTCAGCGGACGGATTATAATTCTGCTGTATCTCAACAAATAGATAGGGGCCGCAAAGTTCTATTGGAGAATTACGGAGAAATAAGCCAGCGCTTAGTAGACGAAGCAAGCAAATTCAATGAAGCGTTGCAAGAAGATAGGACAACTCGTCAGTTTACGAAGGATTTGGAGACGTTGATAGAGGATTTGTTCTTGGACGAAAGAGGCAGACCTACGATTAAATTGGAACTTGTGAAAGACTTCGCTAAAATATTGCCAGTTATTGGGGAGAGGCTCAAGTATATTTCTCTACCCCGAATAGAAAAGTGCGTTACTACTATTGATCGCGTATTATTGGCCTGTGTTCTTTTCCGATACAGTACTAACGGTTTATTTGGGTTTGTAGTTCGGACGATCAATATGATTATGTTTTTGACAATATTGTGCTTCACGTGTCGGAAATTATTCCAAAGCACGTCCATATGAGTTTGAATGCAGACATCAACCTTGATAGGGAAGAAAAAGATATCGTACAGTATACAATTATGGTTGACATGTACGTTTTCGGTTCGGACGGTTTGTTGTCGGTGTTATGCATCTGTCGTATTTCGGTTTACTTATCGTTGTCTTCTATAGTTCTAAATTGCATGCAGATGCACGGAATATAGCCTTTTTCTATAAAAAGAAGAAGGGAATGATCAACATGATGGATGTAAGTGACCTTGTTCACAGGAATAGTTGCTCGTTTTGACACTGGCTCTAACTATTTTATGACTTCATTGCAATTAGGTTGGGCTTATTGACTTTGCCGTTCCCGAGGATACTGGTATGAGGATCCATGCGAAAGTTTGTTTGAAACTTCCCACCGATGATAAACCTTTCTCGCTCGAAGTATGGGAGGCTCGCACCGAAATTTCGGAACTCAAGTTAAGATTGCACGACACACGGCATGAGTAAGTAGCATGGAGAGCTGTGCGAATTTTCTTTTTTCGGATCATATAAGTTACTTGCGATTGTTAATCCGGTTCTATTCATCATATCCATTAGCATGCTTTACAAATTATTGGTCCCATTAGTCGAATCAAGAATTAAGCGTCAGATTGAAACTCTCATTACAGAGCGTATTTGCGAAACTATATCGTTTATTGAAAATCAAATTGGGCGTGCACATTTGCATTTTGCAGAAATGCAGCAGAAGCAGAAACAGCGAGATGATAATGCAGGAAGTGGACCGCATGTCAGTGAAGAGAGACGAAAGAATCCGTGGGAGAGCGCGGCATTTAACCAAAGTCAAGCTGTTTAAATTATGACGAAACGTCGTTCGTATACACGTGTACGTACTCATGCGACCTGGTTAATAAAAGTCGATGTTTTGTGACAGTTTTTTAATGCATCTACATTAGTCAGACTTGGCTTGTCAGATAGACATTTTTTACTGTGAATTCATTTTATTTATAACTCTTTAATGGTCTATATAACAACAAAATGATTATTGTTTTTATCAGTTAACTTACTATAAATACGCGTGCATTCGGCGTTTTACTAGATTTAGTAACCGTATTAGTATGTTTATTTAAGATGCGGTTTGCTGGTCGACCTTGAGTCTCTAAGCCGTCGTTGAATAAAAAGGATACAAAACGTTGAGTAATGAACATTCCCTACAATGCAAATTCTTTAGGGGGGTCGCAATGTGAGTTCTAAAAAAAGCAATCTAATGTATCTCCACGTGACTCATTCGCTTAAATTTTTCCATGGAATTCGAAATCGCGCACTTCGTCTTCTACTTTCCGTCCCAAGTGTGATCTTAATAAGTGTACGTGACATTGCCTTGCAGTCGGTTTACTCCTATATGTCACAACAAACAGCGAGATATGGAGCTTCAGAAGGTTTTCAACAAGATCGTAGAAGCAAACCCAAACGTAAGCTGTCCAGTACAAATTTGTTTCTCTGAGCTTGCAAACTGTTAAGCGCTTTGGTAGCACAGTCGGTGCCTCTCAATACTGAGAGCTTTACACAGCCATAACCCATTGCGTAAGGCTGAACCTTCCTCGGAGTGTAAACTCTCACCACTATCATGTCATGTTTTGTTTGTATGAAACGCTTTGTTCGCTAGGCAATCTTCTGTTCCTTTATTGACATATGTTTCAACACTCTGATATCTTGGAGATGTCAGACGACCTGCCTGAGGAGAAGAGGGTCTTGTTTGAAGAGATCGAATAAAAATAGAAGGTGAGAATATGAGTGTGCATCTGCTCTCTTCTTTATGAGTTGTTGCCTTGAATATGCATTACAGGATGGCGTTTTCAACAACGAATGGGCAATGTACGCGGCAGAACAGACAGCATCATCATCTGTCAATACGAGTATCTCTGTCCAGAGAGACTTCAATAGTGAAGTTAAGTCTCACTCCACCAGGGTGAGAATTGTTTTGAAATTTTTATTAAACACATTTGGCAAATTTGTGAGTTCCTTTTCAAAATTTCATACCATCTAATACTTGACAAGCATTGCATTGTAATCCATTGCAAAAATGCTGACAAGTATCACATAAATCAGTTCTTGAACTTATAATTTAGATTTCTGGTGTTAATTGATGTCATAGTTTTCTGAATGCATCATATTTCAATGATTTCAATTTGCTGTTTTCTTCCAAACCTGCTAGAAAGTTCTGGTAAACAGATTTGTAAGTTGTTTCTGCTGGTAAAAAGATAACTGTAATAAATGAGAGGCTGATTATGATGTGACTGTAAATTGACCAGGGTGACTGATGATGTAATAATGGTGCTCAGGAACTTGTTAATTTTAATGCTCACT